TATATATATATATATATATATATATATATATATGTATACATAGCACGAATATACTTAATAAGCATGTCACTTCGTGAAATACGGGGCATACGCATGCCGGGCTTCAACCACCACGCAAGACCACGCAGCACCCCAGGCATCATTTTTGTGCCGGTTCTCTGGCGGAGTTTGGTGTATTGGTAGGAGCGACAGATGGCAGAAGCCCTAGCGGATCATTTACAAAATAAGAGTGGGACTGGCTGCGTTCTAAATACCATGGCATAGAATTGAAGTTTACATAATAATATTTTGTTAATTAAAATTTCACACAAGTTTTCGAGGCATATTCTTTTGTTACAAGTTGCATTTTATTTTTACTACCGGGCTCTGTAAAATAATGTAAGAGACTGAGACAATTTTATGCATAACTGCGGACTGGTGGCGCGTCGACGTTGGTGGTCGGGATGTGTGGTCGGATGCTACTCTGACGTGTGTGGTTTGATGTAATTATGTGTAGTTTAGGGGGAGGTCAGGTGCTAAAAACATTGTTCACAGTGTCTGCCTTTGTTTTAAAACATGGATAGCTGGGCCTGGGCAAACGGCTAGTCAGGCATTGGCAAACCATGCCCAAGCGGGAGCAGTGCAACGGCAATTATTACACCTCAGGCTTGGCTTGGAGAACTGGGCCAACAACCGGAGTGGGCTGATGGAAGCTTCGGAGCGATTGGTATGATTTTGATAACTATCTCTGGTATTTGTTTGTATTGATCGACTGTGAGCATTCATGTAGCGTCAGCACCTCCATTCAATAGCTGTCACCTTGGACACCCACAAGTTACCAATGATGATGGTTACTTGTCATGATATATCTGGCATTCCTGCAATAATATGTGTGTCTTATTATCAGCATGGCAACTTGTGACAGATGATGAGATAATGTTAGGTTAGCTGGCCAGAGAGATATTGTAATTTTGGCCAAGGGGTGTTTGGGGGGTGGGGGGGGGCAAGATATAGAGTGATAGGATTTAAAAAAATTGAGCTTAGTTGATGCATGATGTTCAGGGGTTTAATTTTGATGTTTTTTGATTTTGGCTATTTGAACCATATATGAATATAACACATATATGAGTGTCTCTTCTAGTTCTGGATCAGATAAGCCCATAAATACTGCTCTGAAGGGAAGGGAATCTTTAATTGGTAGTTTCTGGCTTTGGAATTGGATATTGGCTAAAATGTCCTACATGAATCATTCCTTCTGGCCTGCCTGAAAAATGTGGTAAATGCAGCAAACCTTGGCTAAACTCCATATCTGTAACAAATAATAATGCCCTAACATGCCTAAAAAGCTGAATACTTCACTTATGATCTTTCAGTGAGAAATCCTTTTGGAGTCATTGCTGTCCAAATACAAAAGTAAAGATGCCAAGGCTAATTATAGTGCACCTGATTATTGTTTGCTCTTATCAATTCATCCACCCAGTTGATAATTATGATATATTTGTTGGCAGTGCAGTCAACATTATGTATATTTAGCATGATATTTAACTATTATTAAAATGATCATCACTATGATGCAAAAATTCAGTTTTTATGATTATTACCTCTTCTTTATTTACTCCCCATTATTTTGTTATGACTGATCAATGTACACTTTGCAGCACAAATGTCTTCTAGGGTCCAAGGCATGCTTTTGGTACTCTTCATGTAAATACTTGGACCTTAATTTTGTTTTTAAAACTCTTGAAACTAATCAGCAGCAGATTTTGTCCCATCAAGCTAAGATGTCTGACAAAAACAGCTGCAACAACAGGTGCTCACAATGCTGCTCATGTTCTGCTGCTCACAGTAATACATCTATCACTATTCCAGGCTAGCCAGTTTGGTGTGGCTGGATGGAACCCCTACCAGCAAGGAGTTGTGATGGGAGGTACCCAGGGATTTGTGCCTGGCCAGCAGCTGTGGAACGGGCAACAACAGCAGGCTGCTCAGCAGCAACAGCAGCAGCAGCAAATGGTTGCTGCTCAGTGGGGCCAACATGTTAGTATTTTAACTTGCTGTAGGCACTGACATGCATTTATGGGATGTGACCAGCAGGTCTTTATTAACCATCATTTTTAGGTTGATAACATGCATGAAGTGTATCATAATCTACCCCTGCCTAACTGTGTCCAGCTTCATCATCAGTTATATGAGGAGAAGCTTCATACACACATGCCACTAGAATAAATATCTTTCAAGATGGCTTAGTTGCCATACAATCACTGGCCAGCAGTAAATTGAATTATGGTCAAGATAATGGCACAATTTTATGAACATTCCTGTTAATGGAAAGCAGAACAATCTCAAACAGTTGCCACATACCAGTCCTACTTGACTTGGGAGCATTCTGATGGGCTCCACTAACTGTCTGCATTTGCAGCTGGCTGCACAGGCTGTCGCCTCGCCAGCGCCGTTCAGTGTACAGGTTCCACCGCCGCCGCCTCCACCACCGCCAGCGCAGCAGGCCGTCGCCTCGCCTGCACCGCCGCCGCCGGCGCCGGATACCCATCCCAGCGCCCGTGCCGGCGCCGGCGCCGGCGCCAGCGCGGCGGCCGGCGCCGCCGCCGGTCGCGCCGCAGGGCGCCCCGCCGCCGGCCGTCGGCGGCGCCGCGCCGGTCCGGCTCACCCCTAAGGAACAGGAGGTATGCCCACTTCTGCCAGTACAGGGCCCTCTCAGCCTTGGTGGCCAGGTGGTTCAGCGATATGAGAGTGGCTGATACTAACAGAGGGAATAACAGAGTATCGTGCTGGTGAAGGTATGGGGTGATGTGTGCAAGCTTCTATATGCATCCATGCACAAGCCATAAATATGCCTGTTTGTGGGGATCTTTGGAGGACCTATATCAGATTTTAGTAATCAGTGCAGGCTGAGAAGTGAAGCCAGTAACTTATAGTCAAATATATCATCCACCCCGCAAATCATTTGGTGATCCAATGACCACATGTTATGCCATGTCAACATTCATTCACCTTGTCAATGAAAACTGTGATATCTTCATAGGCCCCAAGCCAGCTAATATTCGTGCAATGTCAGTTGTAAACTTGGACATGGACAGTAAATATCAGTGCACTTCTGCCTGCCAAACCCATGTGAGGAGGATGTTGCTATGGATCGACCAGTCCTTTCCATACTGGTTGGCTTAAATGACAGGCTCCATTTCCCTATGTTTTGGTGATCTACAAGGTAATAGCAATCGCGCTCGCCATCACGTGCCTGCTTCCACGCCGCTAAATATGTAACTGGTACCCTGCATATGAAATGTGTCAGTTTCTTGATTTGTGTGTGGGACTGGGTGTAGTTGGAATGACGTTTCACTTGTTATAGCTGGGGGCAAGGTGGTGTATTGGAAGCAGTCTTGCGTCACATTGTTCTTATGGATGTGATGAAGCGAACCTTGGTTGCATTGTCAATGCACATAAGAGTAGCAATAGTCTTGTTGCTGATAATTTATTGATATCATAAGCTGGATAGATGCCATTTACCCTTCACGGACATGGAAAGCCAGCAACAAAAGGGAAAGAACTGAAAGGTGATTGGCTTTACCCCCATGGGTGGAAGAAGTGTTGCAGGAGAGCTAACAGCATGGTGGTTATTTGTCGCATCAGGAGCAGGGGATGTCCGAACGCCGCATCTGTTCTGCTGCAGTCGCCCGGCAGACGCCGCCACGACCGCTCCTGTCGGCTCCCCCGACGTGCTAGTGTTGTGCCTAGGCTGTGCTGCTGACTCAGTCAGGTACTACATTAGCGCGCTGGAGTGGCCGGTCCATACTCCCGACCAGGGCTGACTCACCGTGTGTAACGCTGGCACAGAGATATTAATGTTAAGAGGTCTTCAGTGGTAATCAGCCTTATAATGATAGGTCTTCGGTGGTAATCAACGTTATAATGATAGGTATGTGGTGGTAATCAACCTTATAATGGTAGAAGGTCTATGGTGGTCATCAGCCTTGTCCCCATGTGAAACACTTAGCATTGCAATGGACTATGAAATATGGAGAAGATGAACATATTGATTTCAGACATGCTTAGCTGTTATGTCAGCTGTTATAAGTCTGTTAGTTACAAGTGATTATTTTATGTTGGAATCTGATGAAAGTCTGAGCTCTTAGAATAAAGTGGAACACCATGCCATTTGCGCCATGCTGCTCGACTGGATCTAAGCTTTAGTGTGCGGTTTTTGTTGCTGTTGAAATTATATTTCCTGAAATAGTCTGTTTCGGATCTGGGACAGATCTAGCATGACATTTGGATCTGTTCAAAAGATACCTTTGGAAATTGAACTCTTTGACAGGCAATGCTTTCTTGAACCTAAGTCCAACATCAGAAATCAAATTCGCATCCATTGCATAGATGCGTCTAGAAGTGTGGTAAAAGTAAGGCTGAAATGTGAACCAATCACTGACTGGATCATGTGCACCAGCACGTGTTTACACGCAGGACAGCGCAGCCACGCGTAGCTTACGCTCTGGAGGCCCTGCAGTCCACCCAGTACTCTGGAGGCCCTGCAGTCCACCCAGTCTAATTTTTGTTCTAGATCAGATATCAGATCTCGCTCCGCCCAGCTGTGGTCGTGTTGTGTTCATCGGTCGCACCTCCGCTGCATGGAATGTGACCTGATAAGGACCGTCCCGGCTGCTCCAGGAGATCCGCCAGTTGCAGAGGGCCGACCAGCTGTTTGACAAGCAGTTCAAGTCCTGGGAAGAGCAGTTCAACAACTGGAAGGAAGAGAACAGGGGACATGCGGACAAGTCCCAGCTAAAGTGAGTGCTCAGCTTCACTGCCACTTGTGCTGCGCTATCTTCCAATGACAACTGCTCGTCGGCCTCCCGTAAGCAAGCTTGGACTCCGACCAACTTGGACGCCAGCCATGCCCATGTTTCATGCATTTGAGGCTTTTCTATCTTCCTATCCCGGGCTTGAGTGTTCCCCGATTAGGTCGAGGCCGATATCTTCAGCATTCTGGTGGCTGTTTCACTGCGCCTCGGAAAACTGTCATTGTCTTGAACCTTTAACGAGAAAACGGCGCGGTGTGAACGTGAGACATGAACAGTACGGTTCCGACGATTTGTCCATGTCAACTTCCACTACCCCGTGGAGTCCCCGCCAGGTCCTTTGTTTTCAATTGTACGCTAGCTGTTGGCAGGGAGGGAATGTTCCCCCATATCCACATAACTCAATTCCTGTAACACCAAACGATTAAATTTTTTGTCCGTTCCGGTGGCTCAGTTGGTTAGAGCGCCTGCCTTCCGATCCACCCACCCGCGGCAAGGTGGGTTCGAGTCGCTTTAGGGCGCTCGCGATTTGCCCTTGGCAGGTATGGCCTGCGGCCGGTGGCAGCAGTCACGCTAAAGGTCAGTTGACGTCAGAAGGCAGGACGGGCCATACCGATTATTGCGGCACGTTAAGCTTTCGTCACTAAACTCTGCCGTTACCTGGAATCACGCGATCGGATAGTGGGGTCAGGGCTCACACAAGCACTGCTTAGCGTGACTGCTGGTCCCAGAAATCCAGCCATTCAAAGGGTTCGAGTCAAATTGAAAAAAGAGCTCGGTGACAATGCCGGTACGTTATTTGTCTCTGTCCGCCGTTTTCACAGCCTGCTTTGTTGGAAGCTATCCAAGAACGATCATTTAAAACAGGTCGTAACTTCCCGCTGCATAATTAGTCACCTTGTGACCAACCGGGTGCCGCGCTTTGTTGTAATCCCCGTCCCTTCACTGTCCTCCTGTGGTTCCCCCAACGTCCTGTCCCCCCGCCGCCCTCTTGCCGCACCCCCGCCCTCTTGTCGCCCCCCCCCCCCCCCGCCCTGTCCTGCCGCGCCCCGTCCACCTCACCGCTCACGACCGCCGGCGCCGCAGGGACTACGAGGAGGAGATGCTGCAGATGAAGAACAAGCTGCTGCAGCGGCGTGACCACCTGCGCCGCCGGCTGGCGCAGAAGCTGGCCAAGGCGCGCGGCGAGACGCCGCCACCCGACCTGCCGGCCCCGGAGCCGGGCTGGCCCCGCCGGCCAGGTCAGTCCACCGCTGCTGCCGCCGCCTCCGGCTGGGCCGGCGCTCGTATAGAGAGCGGGCGCGAGCCGACTGGCGGCGGATGGCTGTGCTTCTGCCTGGTGGCTGCGGTATCAGCCTCTGCTGTGGCTGTGATGCCGCAAATGTCAGGAAGTGTGCGTCTGGAGCTGTGTTTTTGCTGAAGGCTGTTCAGCCGGAAGATCCAACTGCAATATTTGGTACGTCTTCCTCTGACTGGAAGGAGATGCATCTGCTGTGAGGGGTAGCATTGTGCTGCTACGTTGCAGACAGAAGACATTGCTCATGTAGAAGGCACGGCATATATCCCACATCAGGTAATGATTTTGTGTAAGGGCAATGCAAATACTGTCAGAAGATATAGGATCAATTACCGATGTTTTACTGATGGAACGCCCGTGCCGAAGTGGGCTGAGGGCGTGATGCCCTATACTGCACTCTCAGGGTAGCCCTGCCGCTCCCGTTCGTCGGTTTTGACGGCCGACCGCCGTCCCCAGTTGGCGAGAGGACGCCGAGCTCTGTCGGCACGCCGGACGAGCCCGGCTCGCGCGGCCGGCCTGGCGACGACTACGGCTCCGGCTACGGTGCGGACTACGGCGGCCGCGAGGCACGGCGCGGCGGCGGCGGCAGCGGCAGCGGCAGCGGCAGCGGGCGCGGCGGCTACGTCGAGGGCGAGTACGGCCGCGGCCGCGGAGGCTTCTCGGACCGCGGCGGCGAGGGCGGCGGCTACGGCTCCGCGCGCGGCGGCGGCGGCAGGGGCGGCTACGATGGCGGCGGCGAGGAGTACGGCCACGGCCGCGGCTACGGCGGCCCCGGTGGCGGATACGGCGGCGCCGACGACAGCTATGGCCCTGGGCCCGGCCGAAGCCGTGGCGGCTACGGTGGGGCGGACAGCGGCTACGGCGCCGGCGCTGGCCGCGGCCGCGGCGGCTACAAGGACGGCGGCGACGGCTTTGGCAGGGGTGGCTACGAAGAAGCCAGCGAAGACTACGGCCCGCGTCGTGGCGGCTACGGCGCACGCGGCCGCGGACGTGGCGAGCCCCCGTCCGGCTACGGCGGTGGGTACGGCCGTGACCGGGGCGGCTACACCGGCGGCGGCGGCGGCTACAACGGCGACGACCCGTACGACCCGACAGAGATGGAAGGCGGAGAGGGCGGCGAGGAAGCATGGGCTGGCTACGGACAGAGCTACGATGAGTGGGACGAATATGCAGACCAGTGAGTGTGTTGCCATCAGTGCTGTGTGCTGCTGCTGAAATGCTGTCTCATTGTGCTCACGATCGCGTAGGTTCTATAGTCATAGTACCGTGGTGGTATCGGGCATTGATAATATGCTAGTATTGACAGTATGTTACACATTGTTTATCAGTTTTTTAGCCTGGCTGGCGTAATCGACGCGAGTCCATCATTCCGCGTGTAATGTATGAGGGTATCCTGCTGTTCGCTTGACCTTGGCGCAACACTCGCCAGCGGGCACCGTCGTTTGCCGGGCTCCGCTCTGCCTGCTGAGCGGCCTGTGACGTGCCAACCCCGCTCTCGCTGCTGAGCGACGGTTACGTGCCCCCACTGTCGCTGCTGAGCGGCGGGGAGCACGTGCCCCCTCTGTGCATGCTGACCTGGCGGCTTGCCCGCAGGGGAGGTCACGGCCAGGAGCAGGGCGGGGATGACTGGCAGGAGGCGGGTTACGCGGCACGGCAGCATGGCGGCTACCGGTACGGACGCGCCAGCGGCGGCCACCGCGGGTGCGGGGCTGCCCCCGGGGCGGGATGGCATGGTGGCCGGCGGATGGCATGCGGGCTGGCATCTCTGGCGTACACCCGGCTGTACGCCTTCTGGAACCTCTGCTCAAATTGTTTGTTTTATGTGTAATGGGTGAACGGCTGTGTACACTTGTCCATGAACACCTCGTGTATTTGTGTATTATGAGATCTCGACTGGCACGTCTTGTGTTGTAGACAATAGTGATAGACGGCAAATAACGTATTGTAACTTGTTAAGGAATCGTTCCCTGTAGTTTGGACTCACGGTTGGCGCTGGTGGTCTCGGGACTTCGCACTCGGGACTTCCCTTGTGTCCCCCACCGTACATGATGTGAGTCCCCGGTCCCAGCCGGAGTACCGGTCTGACCGGGTCCTCTTCTGGTGCCGAGCAGCGGTGGGGGAGCGGGCCCCGGCCCCGGCCCCGGCCCCGGCCCCGGCCCCGGCCCCGGCCCCGGCCCTGGCCTCGGACGCGGCCTCGGCGTGGGAGCCGGCCCCGGCCGCGGCAGGGACGATTCACACGCGGTCATCGACTACGGCCACCAGAACGCCCTGGAAGTCGTCTCAAAGTTCGAAGGTGAGTGGCGGATCGGTGAAGGGAGGGGTGAACTGGGACACCGCCTGGCCCCGAGTGCTCCCTGGCGTATTTGGTGGACTGGGTTAGACGCAGGCGGCACGGGTTGGTAGGCTGTGGTCCAGGGCGTGGCGCCGTCTGGCGCCGAGGTAGTCGTGGTCCGCGCTGCCTGAACCTAGTGTGGTCAGGCTCTCACGCGCCAGCAGTGGCGGCCGTCTCCGGGTCGGCCACGTCAGCGGTGCCAGAGACTGCTCACTGCGCCCGCTCTGCCGCAGACCCGGCGCGGGGCGTGAACCCGCCGCCGTCGCTGAAGGATGCCATCGAGAGCGTGTACGAGGCGTTCAAGCGGCCTCCGCGCGAGCCGTCGCTGTCCGCGATGGACCGGATGGGCGGTGCCGGGCTGCAGCCGGAGGCGCCGCCGCCGCCGACCCGCCGCCCCTACGGCAGAGGTGACTCAACGGGCCACGCCGCCGGAGGAGCACGGCTGGGAGGTGACGTGAGGGTGTGACGGCGGGGTGGGGCTGTGTGCTAGTAGTGGTGTGCAGGTGGCGGCGGTAGAGTAGAGTGTGGTCCACACCACCTAGCTGTCCTAAATGCTCACTTCGTTGTAGTCGGCGTCCTCGAAGTGAAGTCTCGTTGTTGGTAGCATTCAGTTTGAAAAGACACTGCCGCTTTTTTCAGATCGGTATCATAATTATAACATCGAAACCTTGGACTCGCGTTCGCTGTGATGCCGTCTACCTCGACCCGGCCGCCGCCCCACATCCCACCCGTGTCTATTCGACAGACCCGGACGGTTACGGCCTGGGCCCGAGCCACCCCGATGACTACGCTGACCGGCGCTACCCACCTCGGCCGCGCTCGCGCTCGCCGCTGCGGCGCTCGCGCTCGCCCCGGCCGCGTTCGCGCTCGCCGCGCCGCCGCTCGCCGCCGCGCCGCTGGCGCTCGCGCTCGCCGCCGCGCTGGTCGCGCTCGCCGCCGCGGCGCGAGCGCAGTCCGCCGCGGCGCAGCCGGTTCGACTCGCCCTATCACGAGTCGCCGCCGCGCCGCAGCCGCTGGTCGCCGCCGCGCGGCCGGCCCGCCTTACGAGATGGAGGAGCGGCGCAGGATGGAGCGGGAGCGGCCGCGCCCCGGCCCCGGCCCCGGCCCCGGCCCCGGCGGCGAAGGCTACGACAGACGCGTGCGGTGAGTGGGCTGGGAGATGGGAGAGGAGGGGAGGGGGAGGGGTTAGGTGGAGGGAGTCAGATTTCGACCATGAACGGCTGTTTGAGGATTTGTTGGATGTGATTGCAGGCAGGTGTATTGTGTAAATCTTGGTATAATTTCTTGGTGCCTCAGACGATGGGAGTGGATGCACCTGTTTATATATCGATGCCTCCCTGAAGCTGACCCTCCCGACACCTCCCTTCTTGCCTAGCCAGCCAGCTCGTAGGTCTGCCTCTGCCAGCTGGTCCCACGCCACCCGCGGGCTGCTTCTCTCCCGTCGCTGACCTCTCCTCCCCGTCGCTGACCTCTCCTCCCCGTCGCTGACCTCTCCTCCCCTTCACTGACCTCTCCTCCCCCGTCGCTGACCTCTCCTCCCCTTCACTGACCTCTCCTCCCCCGTCGCTGACCTCTCGTGCGCCGTCACTGACCTCTCCTCCCCTTCACTGACCTATCCTCCCCCCGTCGCTGACCTCTCCTCCCCCGTCGCTGACCTCTCGTGCGCCGTCGCTGACCTCTCCTTTCCCTTCGCTGACCTCTCCCGTCGCTGATCGCTCCTCCCCGTCGCTGACCTCTCCTCCCCTTCGCTGACCTCTCCTCCCCCGTCGCTGACCTCTCCTCCCCCGTTGCTGACCTCTCGTGCGCCGTCGCTGACCTCTCCTTTCCCTTCGCTGACCTCTTCTCCCGTCGCTGACCGCTCCTCCCCGTTTCTGACCTCTCCTCCCCTGTTGCTGACCTCTCCTCCCCATTGCTGATCTCTCTTCTCCCGCCGCTGACCTCTCCTCTGTCGCTGACCCCTCGTTCTCTGTCGTTGACCTCTCCGCTTCCGCCGCTGACCTGTCCTCCCCTTCGCTGACCTCTCTTCTCCCGTCTGACCTCTCCTCTCCCGTCACTGACCCTTCCTCTGTCGCTGACCTCTCCTCCCCCGTTGCTGACCTCTCCTCCTTCCCTCAGGATGGGTGGCGGGTCAGAGCCGCTGCCGGTGCCAGCGCCGGCGCCGCCGGCGATCTCGGCTGCGCCGCCGCCGGTGCCCGAGCCGGAGTACCCGACGGTCAGCATCGCCGACCTGCTGCGGCCGCCCGGCCGGCTGACGCGGCCCACTAACCTGGTGATCGTGCTGCGCGGCCCGCCCGGCTCCGGTGAGAGCGGCCGACGGCGCCGACTGCGCCGGGGCGGGCGGAGGCTGTGACTGGCGCCGCTGCTGTCACGCCCGGGATGGAGTGGACTCCGGCTACAGTCACGTGTGCTGTCAACCCTGCTTAGCTGAGAAGGGGCAGGAGGGCTCCGCGTCAGGGAGTCCTGTCTGGTTGGGTTGGGGAACGAGCAACTCATGCTGTTTCTGAATCCCCAGCAGGGGAAGCCTGGGAACTTATCGCCTGTTACGGTCTCGATCTGGCACGAAGCGATTAACTTAGAGATACCCTCCCCGCGTGCCAGTTACTGACAAGTGATAACCATCGTGAGCATTTAGCCGTATTGCAGGCTGTCTCATATTTGATTCCATCCAAGGGAATTCTTTTTGCTTTAAAATGGGCTAGAACACATTCTTCACAGTCAGTCTCGTTGGCGAGTCACTAGGGCATTGAAAGCGCAGCAGCCACTTGACTGGCCCTTGCACTGTGAGTACGGTGCCGCGTACTCTGCACCATGACCTGTATCGCAGCAGCCACTTGACTGGCCCTTGCACTGTGAGTACGGTGCCGCGTACTCTGCACCATGACCTGTATCGCCAACACCCGCGGGGGTTAGCGCCGTGACCACGCGCGATCCGCAGGAAAAACGTACACGGCCAAGCTGATCAAGGACCAGGAGGTGGCCAACAAGGGCAGTGCCCCTCGCATCCTCTCGCTGGACGACTACTTCTGCACGGAGAAGGAGAAGGCTGTCAGGGACCCGGTCACAGGGAGGTCCGTCACCAAGAAGGTGGGTGTGACGCTGCGCTGTTTGAGACGCGCTGCTGGGCGGCGAGTGCCGCGGCCGACATGCCCCGGAGCGTCAGTGATCGGCCCCCGTGTGGCACTGTCATAACGCTTAGGCCCGTTTGGTGTGAACCTGAGTCTCTGCGTGGCAGATCAGTTACGCGAACTGTAGCTGACCAGTTAAATGCGTGCACCCTATAGCGAGTCCTGACGGTTTTGTAGAGCTCGCTTGATCACGCCTAGCTCTTTGCCAGGTTTGTGTTGCTGTGCAGCATGGAATGTAAGAAAAACAAACTCTTCAGACACTGCCCTCTGTCATGGCTTTCACCCCATGCTGCGCTGTGGGTGGTCAATGCTGCCAGCTGCATGATGTGTTGGTGCTGCTGTGTTGTTGACCTACAGCTACCGTCATGACCCTCAGGTGATGGAGTACGAGTATGACGCTGAGCTGGAGGAGGCCTACCGGGCCTCGCTGCAGAAGGTCTTCAGGAAGACTATTGATGACGGCTTCTTCCACTTCATCATCCTCGATTGCGTCAACGCCCGCACCGAGCACTACGACGACATGTGCAACTACGCCAAGAACAGGGGTTTCAAGGTGCCGGCCGCCGTGATGCTGGCTTGTGTTGATTTCAAGGAGGAGGGATTTGTTCTGTCCTGGTGGATGTCACGTGCTGGATGGTTATGTGGGCTGCGGGGCTGCCTCGACCATGCGGTGCCGTGCCGGTCTGCTATGAATTGATGACTTGATACACTTTCTCCTGTGTGAGATTGCTATTCTGGGTCTATCTCCCTTCAGGGCCCCGCTGTCTCTGTGTCTGGCACTGGGAACGCGGTTACTTATTGAGTGTCTGCTTCTTTACCCGCGCCTGCGAGGTCAGTGACTTCTGGCATAGCCGGAATGTTCTGGGCCCCGCTTTTTCCCACGCTGCACGAAAGGCGACCCGCAAGGTACGTGGTCCTTCGTGGATTCAAACCCGCGGCCTTCGGAGCGCCGCATGACCCCACTCCGTTGGCCGGCAGGTGTACGTGGCGCAGATGGACATGGACGTGGCCGCGTGCCACAAGCGCAATGTGCACGGCCGCTCCCTGGCGGACGTGCGCCAGGTGGTGGAGCGGTGGCAGCCGACGCCGGCGCGCTTCATCCGCGTCGACGTGCGGCCCGTCCTTCAGGACGACAGCATCCAGGAGGTACGAGGGCCGGCGCCCCGACACGCGCCAGCCGCCGGTCTGGGTACGACGCGGACACGGTGTAACAGGAGGTGGGGTGTTGGCTCCAGCTCTGGCGGACGGTCGGCTCGTGAGGGGAGGGAGCTGGAGGGAGTCGGGAGTTGAGAGTCGAGAGTCGAGAGTCGAGAGTCGAGGGTCGGGGGTCGGGAGTCGGGAAGAGAGGGGAGGGAGCTGGAGGGGATCGGGAGGGGACAGAGGGGGCTGGAGAGAGTCGGGAGGGAGCTGGAGGGGGTCGGGAGGGAGGGAAAGGAGCTGGATGGGTTGGGAGGGGAGGGAGAGAGCTGGCTGGAGGTGGGTGAGACAGGCAGAGCCGACACAGCACCTGATGCTAGGGGTCGCCACCGCTGCAGTGTATGGGGAGTCGAGTCGGTGTGCGGGCCGGGCCAGCGACGTCCGGTGCCACAAGGGCCGAGAAGCTGAGCCAGGGCAGGGCCTGGGACGGAGGTGGGCGAGGCGCAGGCGGTCGGCCCGGGAGCTTCGCGCGAGCCGGCCGACAGCCCGCCCCGCCGATACGCAGGCGGTGAAGAGCTGGCTTTAGGGACTCGTTGGAGGCGTCGGTGCATTTGTGGACAAGTTGTCTGTCTGTGCGCCGTGCCAGCGGGCGGTGGCGTTCTAGCTGCAGGTTCTGTGATTGACGTGCGCTCCCATTGGCGAGTTCCTATCAGCGTGGCGCCGTGCTCGCACGCCACGTGCGCGTCTCAGAGCGACCGACCAAGACTGTCCGTCTTGTTCGCTCTTCACATCGGGTAATGCGTGCAGCAGACAGTGCCGGCGGTGGCCCGTCGGAGGTAGTGTCGCCAGGCGCCGAGACGTTGTTGGTGTGCTCCGGCACCTGTCACCGCGCGCAGGCTGCGCTGTGTTGTCTGGACAGCGACGCGGCGCGCTCCAGCGCCGGTCGCGGCCACCCCGGACTGTGCCGAGTTCCCGCCCGTGGTGATGGCCCTGGCGCTGATCCATCCGGCTTCACCATCCCTCTCCGCGCAGGTGGAGATGGAGGACACGCCTGTCGAGGAGCCAGCTGGCGAGAAGGACGCGCAGGAGCAGACGCCGGCCGTAAGTTACCAGTGGGGTCACTGGGGCTGGGCACAGGGGGTGGGGAGGTGGCCGGGAGGATACTTCTTGACACCTCCGGCCGAGACGGGCGTGCT